TATATATATATATATATTATTTTATTTTATTTTAGAAAAGAAAAGAAAAGTTAAAATAATAGTATATAAATTAATAATATTTCACAATACAACTGTTTTAATGTATTTTTATCAAATGAATGCTTAATTCATAAGACTTCTTTCAAAACCATTAAAGCCATTTTATAAACATTAAAAACATTTTCAAAACAGTAAATTATTTGGCTCTAAGTTATGCAATTATTCAGAAAAAGTGCTGGGTAAAAAAAAAATCATGTTTTATGTGTATTGTTTATAGCAAATCTCCAGATAGTCAGAGTAATCTTTGTGTAGTCGACAGGTTAGCATCCATGGTCACCGAAGAATTTTGTGCAACAAAATTTACAAAAATGCTGGGTAAAAAAAAAATCGTTTTATGTGTAGTGTTTATAGCAAATCTCCAGATAGTCAGAGTGATCTTTGTGTAGTCGACAGGTTAGCATCCATGGTCACCGAAGAATTTTGTGCAACAAAATTTACAAAAACTCGTAAAAAAAAAAAAAAAAAAAAAAAAAAAAATTCCAAGGCTAGATCAAACAGATAGGAAAAACACTGAAGAAAATCCTAGAAAATCTAGTGCAGAAATGTAAATCATGTGGCCTTTCTCTTACGAGTATGTTGTATTTATGTATTATTTCGAAATGTTAGCTATATTTCACAAGCCTCCAGAAAGCTGCAGCGCAGGATTGTCAACACAGATTTTACTCATGCAAAGATTCTTGGATTGTGATATACTGTCATCTGTATAAATCTGTTCTCAACTGAAATGGCAAAAACCCTTGGTGTATTATTTAAGCAAGTGTCCTTGGTGTACGGTAACACTGAAGGTGCCTGCTCATCCCCGCAGCTATGAGATTTTAAAGAAACACTGGTGAGTGAACTTGTCAGGGAACCTGGCGTATTATGTTATTAATGTATTGTCATGCATGAGTTAACCTGCAGAACGCATGGCCGAGTGAAACCTTCATTCAATCCTGTACCTACAGGGTGCATCTGTGCGAGTTATGGGGTAACATTATCAGCCTGGGAGATGTGCGAATAGTTTGCCTGATGTAGAGAGAGAGAGTTGCTGGAGATTTGTTTCACACAGCTGCATTTATTAGACCATCTACAGATGAATGATGGGTCGTAGTGCAAGAGACCACAGTGTGTTCATAACAGATGATTTAATGGAGTGTATCTTGGGCTTTGCTTGTTTTAAACATACTGAAATATGTGTACATACAGTGTATCGTCTATTAAAATTTGTTGTTGAAAAAATGATTGCATGGCCATATTTAATAATACAGAACCAATATATACACATTATACAATGGCAGCCAAAAGTTTGTAATAATTCTAATTTTTTTAATGTCTTTTATGCTCTTATGCAAAAATGCGTTAAAAACGGTAAAATTGTGAAATATTATTACAATTTAAAAGAACTTTTCTATTTGGATATGTTTAAAATACTCTTATTCCTGTGATATAAAGCTGAATTTTCAGCATCATTACTCCAGTCTTCAGTGTCACATGATCCTTCAGAAATCAATCTAATATGTTGTTTTGCTGCTCAATTATTATCAATAATATTGGTGCTCAATTACTAATAATGGTTCTTATCATTAGCGATGTTGAAAACAGATTTTGCATCTTAATATTTTTGTAGAAACCGTGATACAATTTCTTTAGGATACTTTGATGAATAGAAAGGTCAGTGAATAGTATTTACTTGAAAGACATTTTTTGTAACAAAATAAATGTATTTACTCTCAATTTAATGCATGTTTGCTGAATAAAAGTTTTAATTTCTTTATATATACAGTATACAGTATATATATAAAATATGAAACACCAATGCTTCAGGAGTTTAGAACATGCTTATTCGATAACTCTTTTATTTCCTTTATGAGTTTATGTACTATGCTTCATTGTTTAAGATGAACTGCTTTCTCCAAGGCATTGTTAGATTCCAGACAGTGTTTCCTGTCATAGGATTTACAAATATTTGATTTCAAAAACAGTATCATAGCTAATAAAATATTTCTTGTTGTGATATTAAATATGCATTTAACCTCAGAATGATCTCGAAGTAAGTCTGATTTTGTGGTGGCTGTGCTTCAAAGGGGACATGGTACTGATCTATCCTTGAGTTTTAACTTTTTAACAAAACATGCCTTAAATTGTCCCTCGTTCAGAAAGCAGTCTGGAGTAAAATTACTTGCGCAGACATAAATTAATTTAGGTGTATTTGGTGACAAAAACTAATGCACTGCGTCCTCAGTGTCTCTGATGTCGGGAAAAAATTAACACTCTTATGTTCTTCTACATCACAAAACCACAAAACACCTGCATCGCTTACAAGACATTGTCGCTACAGCTGCTCGAGCGCGGAGAGAATGATGGACTTCGTACAACTGGCTGAGGGCGAAAATATTCTAATACGGGACAGTACGTCAGCGGTCGTGGGAGGGGCCTAAGCAAATATGACATCATACTGCTCAGAAAATCAAAACGGCTTGGTAATTGTGAATGTTTAGGTTTTTAGGGGATTAACGGATTTTTATCATTGGGTAAATTAATTAACAGTGCATTGAAGGAAACAAAATAACTAATAAACAATTAACAATTTGTGTTGTTGTTGTAGTGGTACAACAGCTGCATCACATTTACTAAATCTATATAATTTATGCATAGTATCTAACAAATAATTAATTAATTTATTGGGTGGCTGTGTCCACACACTGCTAAGATACATTTGTGCAAACACCATGTAAAAGTGAATTTTGCATCCAATGTCTCCTTTAAAATTAAAATATTATAATCTTAATTCAGGTGATGAAGGATTTCGAAAGTCTGACAGGAATCAGTGTTGACTGTTGAGCGCTACTGTAAGGTTAACCCTGCCTGGTTTATGTTTGAAAATGATTAACAGTTGAAAACATTAGAAATTTAGAAAAGTAATCAAATGTAATCAGTTACATTACTTTAATAAAGTAATTGAAAAGTTACACTACTTATTACATTTTAAGTAGGGTAACTTGTAATCTGTAACCTATTACATTTCCAAAGTAACCTTCCCAACACTGCATATCTCACAGCTTTCATCTCCATTTAAATCAAAGACATAAATATGGTATATGTGAATAGTCACTATACTGTACTGACAGACAAAAACAGCAGCACAACTGTTTTCTGAAGATCATGTGACACTGAAGACTGGAGTAATGATGCTGAAAATTCAGATTTTCATCACAGGAATAAATTATATTTTAAAATATATTCAAACAGAAAAGAGTTATTTTAAATTGTAAACATATTTCACAATATTACAGTATTTTACTGTATTTCTGATCAAATAAATGCAGCCTTGGTGAGCATAAAAGACTTCTTTCAGAAACATTAAAAATACTAATTATTTTGCTCCTTATCAAACTAAATACTCACCTGGGATTTGTAGTGTGTTCAGAGGTCACATGCTTCAGCATGGGTTTTCTGCATTTAACACCTCATGTCAAGTGAATTTACATATTTCGTTATATATAAAGCATATAGCTCAGTGTTTAAATACAGTACATGACCTCTGAACACACTGACAAATCCCTGGGCGAATATTTACAGTAATTTGATAAGCGGTGATTTTCTCCAGCACTATTTAGGTGTTAAACTTTATGAACAAAGCTGTGTTTGAATGGTGCACCAACATTAGGTGGTTATTTGGCACATATGGGCTGGCATTTACCTGCAGGCACATGCAGAGAGATTAAAGGTGACTCATGTACACGTACAGTATCATCACCTGTGAATACAAGCGTTCCATCAAATAGAAACCCTGATTAATGCACTCTTTTGTGATTCATTACAGAAGTAAACACATGATACTGACATAGAAAATTCATAGCCTCGTATTTCTCACGAAATTATTATAGGATGCAACTCTGAGCGTGAACTTCTCCCATAAAACTATTCAGCTTTAAAATGTGCGTGCATCACTAGTTTTATATCAGACTAATGTGCATGGAATTTATGTCCCTGTGATTTAGCAAATGTATGGACTTATATTTACACTTTTCTGGCAGACCAAGAGCAAATTTGCATAGGTCACCGCATGACTCTGAGCACAAATACAAGATCTCCATCTTGTGGCCATGGTGATAACAACAACAAAATAATGCAACTGGTAAACTGAATTTCAGCATTACTTCACAAATAAAAGATTGTTATTTAAATGGCAATCAACATACAAGACAAAGGACAATCAGGTACTGTGTGGCCTCGTAGGCAAACGAGAGAGACCACAGATAAACTCAGTCACTCCTTTGAAAATCAATCACCAACCCCTTTAATCATGTGTACTCAAATTAAATTACATGAAATTACATTTTCATACAATAAGCAACATCAGATGAAAGAATACAGAATTCTGAAAATAGTTGCTAAAAAAATAAATATTATTAAAAAATATATATTTCAAAAGTAAAAAGCGGTCCCACTTTATATTAAGTGGCCTTAACTACTATGTACTTACATAAAAAAATAAGTACAATGTACTTATTGTGTGCATATTGTATTGCAAAACACTTTTGCTGCTATTAAGGTGGGATATGGGTAAGGTTAGGGACAGGTTTGGTAGTTTGGGTAGGTTTAAGTTAGTTAGTTAGTTAGTTTAGTTTATTGTCCTTTCGGAAATTCTTTTTGTATCTGTGGCAACTCTTCAGTGATCAACAACAATAATTAACAATACAAACATCAACAGGTTACAACACATCACAAATAAATACAACTAGACCCAAACAGCCTCCCTCTCACAACAACAGAATCACTGCCATAGATGTAAAATGACAACTGTGATATCACAAAAATGTATTTAACAGAGCTATACTGGATGATATAAAAGATCTTTGTGCACGGGCAGTCCGTAATAATGGTACCCTGTACCTTCGACCAGATGGTAATAACTCATATTCACCACAAAGAGGATGAGATGCATCGTGAAGGGTGGGTTAAGGTGTAAGGGATGGCTCAACGGTGTGATTATAAATGTAATTACAGAAATTAATTACAGATTGTCGCAGTCTGCAGCGGGTGTGCCCAGGAGGGCCACCAGATGACTGTGTTCTGGGAGCACATGGCTTGTGTTGTGTTTGTCTGTCGCCATGTGCTCTCTCCTGTCTATTGTCTTGCCCCTCCCATCTGCTTATTGCAATTCCCTGGCAAATTTTTGACAACAAAGTTTGTGCATGCACTACATAAAGTAAATAAAATAAAGCACAATGTAATATGATTTTTTTTGTATTTTTCACAGGTGTCTTTTCTTATATTTTGAATTATGCATTGTTGTCTTGTAGGTTGAATGTAAAAGTCAACCGTTATATTACATTACACACACCGTTTCCCAAACTGGTCTTAATGGAAGAACTGTAGTGGATTTGTGAGAGATAAAAAGCTAATAATTCATTAAATCATGTAATAAAGTAACCGTAATCTGATTATGAGCATTTTAAAATGTAATTTACTCTAATTACGAGTACTTAATTTTTGGAATCTGATTACGTAATCCAGATTACATGCAATCAATTACCACTCAGCACTACTTCTAAATTCAATATGGGTCAATGCCATCAAATGCACACATATATTGAACACAGAAGCCATTTTGCTTTTCTGGTGCTGCTATATGTAGGCAACTAACAGGAAAGTCCAGAACTCCTTCTTTACAATTAATATTAAGGAGCTGACATATCATGGGGAGGGGGGGATATAAAAACAGTTACTTGTGATTTAGGCATATATGACACCAAATAAAATAATGATGAATTAAACAAATTAGATCATAAACTTCATAAAAAGCCAGTAAGGCCTTGTTGAACTCATAACAGGTGATATGGATAGAGGTCTTTCAGGATTAAGATTTGCTTTGGTGTTGTTTAATAAATTATTTCTTAAATACCTGACAGTGTTCACAAAACTATTCCTGCATGGCAGTTTTTATTATAGTTCATTTTAAAAGGTGTAAGCTGCGTTTCCGTGTTTGTCGCTCTCCTCGCTGTAAACTGTTTTTGGCTGGAAGGCTCGAGCAGGAGAGTCTCTAAATTCACTACGGTAAGGGTGTGAAATATTGTGCTCAGACTGTATATATAGTATATATAATTTAAATTGTCATTTTTGTGCATTATTATCACTAAACAGGTGTGGGGGTTTTCTTGGCAAAACTGCGGTAAACAAGATGATCCTGCACAGATGAAGAGTCTCAGTATTTCTCCAGATCCCATTTCCATCCCGGGACAGTTGACAGCAGCGGCATCGGGCTCCACATCAGTAGCGCTGACATCTCCTCTCTCTATAAGATAGAGAAATATATCATCATTGACAACTTCCTCTTCTTGGTTTTGAAAAAGTCACAATTCCGTATTTTTGTGGAAAGAGGACCTTTTTGCTTGTGTGTGTGTGTGTGCGTGTGTGTGTGTGTGTGTTTGTTTGTTTTTTTTTACATAAAATTAATAATAAAAAATATATTCCTATGAAATATGAGATGACGTTTTTTTACACTGCCAATTATTACAATATTGTTTATATGACAAGTTGAACCAAATACATGGTAATTGCTCAAATAGAATTGGGCTCTGTTTAATGTTGAAAACACCCACATTTGACTTGATTATACAAATAGGGAAACCAATGAGGAAGTAATTTAATATATTTTTAATAAATAATTTGTAATAATATTCATAATATAGTCAAGAAACTATGAGACACCTGCCTATTTAAAGCAAGCACTTCTAAATCATGTGTGCTAGTATGCTTAAGAGGGGGGGGGGGTTAGCATATTTTTATCATTTAAATTTTTATAATACCAGGCTAAAAGTTGATTATTATTATTTTTTTATGAAAAAGTAATTGATAGTAGCATCATGGCTTAATTTTCATTATAATTTCTGCTTTCCTAATACTACACTCTAAAAAATGCTGGGTTAAAAAATCCCGGGACAGTTGACAGCAGCGGCATCGGGCTCCACATCAGTAGCGCTGACATCTCCTCTCTCTATAAGATAGAGAAATATATCATCATTGACAACTTCCTCTTCTTGGTTTTTAAAAAGTCACAATTCCGTATTTTTGTGGAAAGAGGAACTTTTTGCTTGTGTGTGTGTGCGTGCGTGTGTGTGTGTGTGTGTTTTTTTACATAAAATTAATAATAAAAAATATATTCCTATGAAATATGAGATGACATTTTTTTACACTGCCAATTATTACAATATTGTTTATATGACAAGTTGAACCAAATAAATGCTAATTGCTCAAATAGAATTGGGCTCTGTTTAATGTTGAAAACACCCACATTTGACTTTGATTATACAAATAGGGAAACCAATGAGGAAGTAATTTAATATATTTTTAATAAATAATTTGTAATAATATTCATAATATAGTCAAGAAACTATGAGACACCTGCCTATTTAAAGCAAGCACTTCTAAATCATGTGTGCTAGCATGCTTAGGGGGGGGGGATTAGCATATTTTTATCATTTAAATTTTTATAATACCAGGCTAAAAGTTGATTATTATTATTTTTTTATGAAAAAGTAATTGATAGTAGCATCATGGCTTAATTTTCATTATAATTTCTGCTTTCCTAATACTACACTCTAAAAAATGCTGGGTTAAAAAGGGACAAACCCAGCTATTGGGTTGTTTTGACCCAGCGGCTGGGTTGTTTTGAACCCAGCATTTTTTAGAGTGTAGTCTACAATGACATTTTAAAAACACAAAAACGAGGCTTAGGAATTGAGTTCAGAGCCTAGTTTATGCTAGTGAAATAAATATGCCTGAGTCTTCTGTTGGCTGTCTTGTGACTATCACAAGAGGCTGTAAACTTCCATGATTGTCACTTTTTATAGTGGGCTTCTCCATAAAGCATTGTTTTAAAAACTTAATTCCATGTTCACACCATGTTATTTGTTTCAGGTGAACGTGACGTTGGAAAGAGAAATAGCTGGTGTGTGGGTGAAAATACCATGCCTGGATGAAATAGGAAGTTGTCATTATCCTAATGTCTGTGACCTGCTCGATCAACTCATCCCGCCAGGACAGGATTGTCCTGAGCCTCTGCACACATACGGCCTGCCCTGCCACTGCCCATTCAAAGCTGTGAGTGTGTCCCGATTCAGGAGATTTTACTCAACATGCAAGTGTTTATGGGTTAATAATGTCTTCTTATCTTGACCAAAAATCCATCATGCATTTTCAGAGGCATAACATTTATCATATCATTTTCCCAGGGTGATTATTCTTTGCCATCATCAGATATCGTCATACCAGACGTTGAACTGCCTGGCTGGCTGACCAATGGCAATTACAAAGTACAGGGCATTTTAGGAAACTCTGAGAAAGAACTGGGATGCCTCAAAATCAGCTTCTCATTGCATTCCTTGAAGAATTAAATGAAATGTAGCATTTGATTCATCTATAGGACTTTTACTTATGCCCGGTTCAACCTACACGATTTTAGCCCGATTTTGCCACGATTTGCTTGACGTAGGGTGTCGTGGGGATTCGTAAACGACAATGGGCGTCGGGATGCAAGATTCCATCGTTTCAGTTCGTGTAGTGACAACCGATTCCGCGTCTGTGATGCTTCACGACAGAAAGACTAGCATGTTTAATTTTTTTCCTGTCGTCCACGACGAGTTCCGTCACATTGGTGACGTTGACCAATAGCAGCACAGAAGCTCTTTCACACACAGTTTTCAAACATGGCGAGACAGCCAGAATGAAACGCGCTGCTTCAGCTATGTTTACACTCTTGTTTTCGGAAGTCAGTCGCTAGTTCCGCCTTCTCAATGACCAGTGTTGGGCAAGTTACTTCCAAAATGTAATACATTATATATTACTAGTTACTGTCTTTTGAAAGTAATTAGTTACATTACAATATTACTGTCTCTGAATTGTAATGCGTTACACTACTTTTGAGTTACTTTTGAGTTACTTTCACCAAAATATCCACATTTAACGACACACGATGAATGGTCGGGAAGCAACGTGTAGTCTGACATGTTTCTTGTCCACGACACTACAAGATTTTAGGAGTCAAAATCGTATAATCTGACACAGTGACTATCGTGACCGACAAAAATATTGTGTAGTCTGAACCCGGCATTAAGGTTCTCTTTACATTTTTTGAATGACAAATTTTCAGTCATAATGAGCACATTTCTTTTTAACTAATGAGAAATGTCATTTAATTGTTTTTAAATGATTGGTGGAAGTTGTAAATATTGTTTACATCAGTTTACTTTATAAACCACTGGACCAAGATTAACTGCACATTTTGGTTTTCCTTTTTATTTTATTACTTATTTTAATTAACATGAGACAATGTTTTGTCTGGTTTTAACTGCTGCTTGTGTGATTTGTTTTTGTTCTCTGGCATTAATGAAGTTCAGTGTTAAAGTGAAACTAAATCAGTTTTCTTTAAAGGGGAAATTTCTGTTTTTTGTTCTTAATAAACATTCAAACATTCAAGTGTTTAGTAGTTACATTTTATTGTTTTACATTTTCTCATTGTGTCTGTAATTCTATCTGTGTGTGTGTGTGTGTGTGTGTGTGTGTGTGTGTGTGTGTGTGTGTGTGTGTGTGTTGATTCATGTAATTAATCGCACATCAATTTTAAAATCTGCCCCAAAAGAAGTCATTCTTGTGTTAAATGAGAATAGGCATAAAATAGACATTTATAAAAAGTAGCTTTAGGAAGAAATATATTATTTTATTCAACAATTAGAATTTTGAGAAATGTTTGTTTGTTTTTTTGGGGGGGGTTTTATTTATTATTATTTGTTCAAAACACAGATTCATTTAGAAACTAAACACTGCTTTGTGTTGCTCGGAGATGCACAACCATTCTGCTGTTGCTTTAATAATAATTTTGTGATATTTTCTTTATCAAAATTGAGTAAAAACAGACAATATTGTCTCTAAACTATAACAATATTAACATCTAATTTAAAGCAACTGTTGTATGAAACAGACTAAAATATCAATCTTGGGATTTAAGAATCAATATCGATTCGGTAAAATAAAGATTCAAGTTATGTTCTGCACATGCAGTGTTTAGAACATTTGTTCGGTACCGAACCGAAAGACCCATACTGAAAATTTGAATGTACCCTTCTAGAAACGAATTAGGAAAAAAAAAAAAACATTTAAAGCACTAAAACAGCACCTACCTGTAGCTAAGTGTGTCTGTTGTTATAAAAAGAGCAGAGTGGGAAATAACAGACATAACCTGTATTTAGCTGCCAGTCACATTTTCAGTAACCCACATATAGGAGTTCAAGGAAGATGCAAAGCAACCAACAGCATGGTTGAATAGGCTGAGATGCAAACAGCCACTATCCTACACATGACTATAGCAGGTTGCGTGTATTTTTCCAAGTAAAAAACAAATGTTAACCATAAGTTAACATATTCCACGGTGTGCATAGCTAAGCCACATGGTTCTCAGTTGTGTGCTCTCATCTGGGGCCATACACCTCAATACAAATAGTCCTCCAAAAGAAAATTCACACCAATTTTAAAGGCACGGCAAAACCCCTATGGTGAAAGTTTGGCCCATATGTGTTCAGCCATGCCATATCTAGGCCAAATGTGACAGTTATATCTGCCACATTTGGCCCAAAAGTTAGTGTTACCTGAGCACTTATGTGATATTGCTTAACTATATCATATGATACATGACACAAACTCATACACGGGCATTTTTCCCCCAATATCTTGAATTTTAGGGGCATATAACTGCAATCTATAGGCTACATCTCACAGTGAGTTGTCCTGCATCCTGTTTTTCACCAATCAATGTATGAAATGTAAGATGTTTTTAAAGGGTTTTCATGGTGCTGTGTGAATCAGCCTGTAGAGGTCGCTGCATAACACTGTATAAATGTTTTCATAAATGCCAAAAAGAGCATATGCTGGTTAGGTATGTTTTGAAGCATGGCTGCTGGTTTAAGATGGTCTTTAGCTGGTTTGAGCTGGTTTAAGCTGGTCATGTGCTGGTCCTAAGCTGGTCCTAAGCAACTAGCTCCTGCTCAGGACCAGCTTAGGACCAGGTCATGTCATGACCAGCTAAGGACCAGTTTAAAACAGCTCAAAAACAGCATATGCTGTTTTTTTCAACAGGGTCATTAACGTAAGGAAGGAACTCGCACGACAAACAGTTCCTAACGTGTCTTTGATATGGGATAGATCACATTGGTGTTTCAGAGTATTCATTTCTTTAACTTTAAGTAGATACATCTTAGATAATTAACCAAAAATTAAAGGTGACACTTTCTGTATCAACCGTGCGAAATGAAAAGCTGCATTTCTGTGTTTCTGTTCTCTTTAAATAAATAAATAATAATAATCAGACATGTTTTTTGAGCAGCAAATCAGCATATTAGAGTGATTTCTGAAGGATCATGTGACACTGAAGACTGGAGTAATGATGCTGAAAATTTAGCTTTGAAATCACAGGAATAAATTACATTTTAAAATATATTCAAATAGAAAACAGTTATTTTAAATAGTAATGATATTTCACAATATTACTGCTTTTGCTGTATTTTGGATCAAATAAATGCAGGTTTGGTGAG